TTACCCTCGCTGTGCTTGGTCTGGATTTAAGTTGCGTCGCTTTATCAATGGCAATAGGTTTACTAGCAGCAGAAGCGATTGATAACACCGAACGCATTGCAAATAACTCCGGTGACAGATTCGGCAATGAAATCCAAACTACTGCCATTGTAGTTTCCTCATTTGAATTAAATCCAATTGTCCATGGAAAGACTCTATACTGGTGTTCTTCGCCATTCCATGATAAGTAATTTACTGCACGAGCTAAAGCCTGTACATAATCTTCATTTTGATCGAACCTAACAGAATTTGCCTTGGTGCGAGTGAACCTACGAGGCATCGACCTTTTGTTCCTAGATGTTTTGGAAGTAAGATTCTCAGCTCTTTGAGATCTGGTGCACCCGAGGAGAGTTTAAAAACAACAGATTGGTGTAATCCCTCCTCCATTGCAAATTCAAATCTTTCCTCCATGGTAAAACAAACAGTTGGTTCGCCATGTACATATTGAATCGATTTCAAAACTGTTTTTGTTGCAATTTGTGTTGGTGATTTGGATTGGATCTGAGCAGCATATGTTGGTTTAATAGATGGCTCTCCCACAGCCAAAGGCTGGGAGAGGACGCAGCAGTCATGAAACTCTTCAACACTCCATTGACGTGAAGAAGCAGAAGAATCTAACCAAAAAATTCTGCGTGCTACAGTAATCGCAAAAATAAAAATTAAGATCTGGAAAAATTAGTTATGAATTTGGGGATGAAACCAATTGGGGATTGTGCGCAAAGAGTAGATGCTTCTTTTGACACCAAAATTGCGACAATCCACCGCTGGATGCCAGAGTTATGGCCCGATGAATAGTGATAGCTTCTTTTTTACGTTTTGAGTGAACAATAAGCCTTTGATTTTCTTAATGCTACGGTTCTTTCCAAAGGTGGATAATGTGTGAACCGGGTGGCTCTTCCCAACGATGGATGGCGTGACAACCTTCTTAAGGGATTGAGTACATTTTCTTTTATGTTTTGGTAAATATAGTAGTAATGAATAAAAGGGGTCTCAAGCATGCTTCACTTGGTACCAACACATGTTTCTTCTTTCTATTTTCACAAAGACGAACGGTAATCTTAACCGGAGGTTCCTTTTATCAAATTATCTCAATTAAAGTAAGATGTAGGGAAGCTTTAAAGAAGGCGACCTTCTACGATCTCGTATGTACAATTAAAGTATGTTAAGGCTAAGCTTTTCTTTCATTTTGGCATGATTCATCATTACACAAGTTTGATAACGAGGTATAAAGAAAAATTCATATCCCGGAATTTACGTATATTTTGTTAGTCTCGCAAGTTACGTATATTTTTCTAGTTTTGTAAGTTACAATATTCTCCTTATCGGGACTTCATATTCAATTGAGTATTTCCTTCTTCCAGTCAAGAGAGTAGAGAGTTATATATACAGTATTAAAGTATTTTCATTACCATCGAGCTATAATCGATGGGCAGGCCCCTATTGGGCAACCTCTGATCAGATGGTAAGTTATATACCGAACGTACTGTGTCCGAGCGCCTATGAGCGAGCCCAGCATGGTCGAGATACAGAGTCTAGTATGGTCGAGCGCGTATGAGCAAGCCTACTACGACAGAGCAGTTATATATATATATACCAAGCCTTATAGGGCCGAACAACTATTTTACTTACTATATTGAGAAAGTTGAGTCAGTATCAGCAGGTAAGCATATCTTCAGATTTTCTTTGACTTCCAGCTACTTGCAGTTATTATATTATCAGTTCAGTTTCAGCTTTCAGTATATTGCCTTACATACTCGGTACATTATTTCGTGCTGACGTCCCTTTTGCCTGGGGACGCTGTGTTTCATGCCCGCAGGTATAGACAATCAGTTTGATGATCCCTATTAGTAGACGAGATTGGCATTCAGCAAAGGATCGGTAAGACTCCACCTCATTCGGAGTGCAGCCGAGTCTATGAGTCATCATGTCAGAGTTTTACTACATACTTATGGGTCAGCCGGTACCCCGTCCCATTTGATGTCAAATAATCTTAGAGGCTTTGTAAACAGAAGTTCATTTTGTACAGTATATCATAGGCCTTGACGGCCCATATGTATTCATATTTTATGAATGATGGTTCATTGATATAACATTTGCCCACTTACAATTGTACATTACGAGTTGCGGCCATGTTGGCCCATGATAGTTAAAAGAAAAAGGAGTTACAGAGTGGTTCGCTCGGGCCAGTGCGGCACCGGGTGTTAGAATGTTAAAGTTAGCATAGTGTTCCTGTTAAGCTGACTTAAAAAGAAAGTGTTGATGTTAAGCTAGTACTTGTAAGTAATATAAGATGTGGTTTGTATCCTTTATCTATAAATAGGTGTCTTGCACAATTCACTATCATCACATTATCTATTTATTCTTTCAATTCTCCTAGTTTTATAATATGATATCAAAGCTTCGTCAATCCTGGTGGAGACATAAGAGACTTCCCCTATCCAGTCAAAGTTGCTCTGCACTTTTATGATATTATTATTCTCATCTTTTCTGGGTGACTGTTCTAGCTGAGCCACTCTTATTTCCAATAACCATTCCAACACCCTGCGCATCTTCCTTGTAATCAATTGGCGATATTGCCTCTTAAATGGCCGCTTTCGGCCACTATCCTATTCACTATTTATAGCAACTTCTTCAACAAAATTTTGATGGCTTAAAATTTCCTCAAAAAGATTTCCGCAACCAAAAATTTTATCAGTAAGACTCGAACGATCGGAATTCAGAACTTTGCAAGCGATTATTACCTGTCTATGCTTCAAAATAAGCAAACCTAAACTGATTCTCACCTTAAGTTTGAGAGGGCACGTAAGCGGTCACATGTTAGTGTTAAGTACTATGTTAAGTTAGTCCTTTATAGGTTAAAAGTGGATCGCCCTCGTGACCCCTATTCAAAATGAACCACCTCCAAGCCTCCTGAACTAATTCCATTATCGGCGGATATACTATTCCGGCCAGAAACAGTAGGAATGACCTTGCAGACTTGAGCTTTAGGCCCCCCCACCCCAATACCATCATTCTGAGGCCCACCCGCTCTGTTTCCACCCGAAAAGACCTCGCTGGCATTTAAATTTTGACAATTATTCTCGACGGAGTTACTGTTCCAACCAGAAACAGTAGAAATCACCTTGGAAACTGTGGTAGACCCCTCCACCTCAATCCTTTGATTATGAGGCCCACCCAGTCGTATCCACCTGAAACAACCTCGCCGGCGTTAGAAATCGGCAAAGAATCCCGCCGGATGCGAAGACGGAGCTGTCATACTTCTTCCCTTATAGTCTCGGGTTTCCCCCGAGAACGAGACATGCGGCTGGATTCAAATCCTTCCTTCGAAAGCATAGTAGATTTTTTCGGTTCCTTTTGTTCATTCGTCTTTACCCTAGTGCCTCGTCGACTGTCTTCAGTTTTGTGTGACCCACGATAATTCCCCCTTCGACCAGTTTTATTTTCCTTAGAAGTAGAAATCGGCCCATAACTTTATTGACACAATATTTACCCTTTTTAGAATGTGAGGTGATGTTCTTGATACACTTTTCCCAGATAATAGAACTTTTTATAACTGTTGCAAGTTTCAAGAATTCAAATTCAATTAAAAGTTCAAAGTTAAACCATGATGTGATGTTTTTCCTAGCAACTCAACTTTTCAAGAACTGCTGTAATGTCATTCTTCTACCCAGTGTTTAAAAAAGCAATCGCTTCATCGCTTTAAGTGAAAAGTGACGCTAAGCGACAGTGCATCGCTTTTCTGAAGCTGAGGCGACATGATTTTCAAAAGTGATCACTTCAACACCGGAGGAGAGAAGCGACGCACGATCGCTTCAGTCAAAAGGGGTCAATTTTAAAAAATTCCAAAAGTCCGTCCAGGTAATTTCTTCTTTCTTCTTCTTCTCCTTTTTTCTTCACCTTTTTTTCTCTCTTCTTTCTTCTTCTTCTCGTCGCGTCCACTGCTGCTCACTGCTAGGGTTCCAGCGGTCCTTTTTTTTCCTTTTATTCTTCTTATTTAGCCATTATTTATTAATTTTTGTGTGTATTTCAATTTATAAACTTAATTATTATATTTTGAAATGTTGTTGCTTTGTTGATTCTAGTATATTAAACTTAATTATTATTATTTTTTCAGTTTTTTTCCTTTTTCTTTGAAATGTTACTGATTTCAGTCATTAAATTTAATTTAATTAAGGTGTTGCTGATTTCAATTTATTTCATTATGTTTGTTTTTCTTATATCTTAATAGGGATATACATTGAACTTTTTGATTATTTATATTGTGTCTTTGCAAGGTTTACTTTATGCTTTTTAAGAATTGCACTTCATTTCAATGAAGCGTGCGGTTCCCTTCGCTTTTGAAGCAAGGCGAGCCCCCGTCACTTTTTTGCGCTTCTCGCTCTCAAAAACACTGCTTCTACCCCCAAAGACATAAAATGCAGGTAAAAGTAACTTCCTCATCTCTGAAATTCAAGAATCTATAGTCATATATCATAAAATATCTTATACATCTGATAAGTTTATATTCTTCAGTTACAGAAATCACATGCACAAGTCTTTCAACTGTGCATCCACCAAAGTATACATATTAAGAAAATGGTTAACTAAACTGTAAATAGTCAATACTTCATGCTTCAAGTGGTAAGACCAAGTTGTATTTTGTATTTACACCCTTCCAGTTTTTTGCTTCTTAATTTAACCCTTCCAGTTAATCTCAGATGCAGCATGAAAGCCAAATTACTGAACCAGATAAGAGTACTAGGTAAAAACGACAGTCCATGCTAATTTCATGCAAAATTTACATATATCATGTTCTACTCTAAGATCTTTGCCATTGGCAAACACCTGTATAACTTCTATCTTATCTCTCTCCTCTTAGTAGGTCTATATTCTTTACTGCAACAGGTTCTTTTTTTTTCTTTCACAAGTCATTATGCCAGTCCAAAATGTACTTTCCCTTGATGGACTAATAAACGATAACAATTGTTCGTGCACACACACACACAGAGAGAGAGAAGGTATGGACAAAGGATACCTCATAGAGGCCACCCTTAACGGGGACCCCAACTCTTTCTTCTTCAACTGAATACTCTTCACCCAATTGAGAGCTCTCGGAAGATGATTTTTCTGATGCAGGACTAAGTAAATCTGGTGCCCCCTTTGGGCCCTCACTGCACTCTGCATACTCTTTCCACCAACAAGAAAGCAGCTCATCCTCCCTCTACAGAGTGCAAACTAATTAATGGCTCATATATCAACATAAGATATTTCAAACTTAATAGCCACACAAGTCTTACCATTATCTGCTCTTTACTTCCTTTTTGGGGGGAAGTACATTATGACCATTTTTAAACTTAAAATTTGCATAATCAGGCAGAGGTGAAGTAAATATGGAGCAATAAATATTTATCTCGACCAACAATTGATGTACTAACTGGGTCGTAGATTAATTATTTTACAGATGAGGAGTACTCTTAAGTCTTAATAAACAAAACACCAGTCAGAAAACATTACCTGCAAGAATGAAGCTTCAATTGCAAGAGAATCTCTCATGCCAAATCTGAAGTAATCACCCTTCCCCACTATCTCTGCCTGGGGGACTGCTGCAGCTGGCTCTGTGCAAAAGTGAAATCCACAAAGGACAACCTAGATTTATACATGAATACGACAGCTCATGCTCATAGTAACTGACAAAGCTATAATAATTAGACTTAAAAGTTTAAAGAAGATCTGCGTCTTATTGCAGAATTTCTGACTCATGAATACATTTTATACCAGAAACTACAAGCTGACTCGTCAGGATTAATGTTTCTGATTGTATGATAGTGAACTAAAAAAAGTTTCTGATTGTATGATGAACTCCATAGCAGAACATTGAATCTATGCTTTAATTTCACTTACTGTTACAGCTGACTTATAGAATCTGCAGTGTTCTACTGAGAAAGCTTATGTATGTTTTTTTAGTCCTGGCATCTTTTATTTTGAAGCTGCAGAAATTGATTTCAAAAGGAGTGCAACATTTGGAGAAGAACAAATCTTCCGAACCATAGAATGAACAGCAAAAGCATAAACAGAAGAAAAAACTAGCAAGTTGCTTTTTCATCTGATTGTTCCTAAGGTAGAGTCTCAAAGCGGAATGATATCATGAGCCAAATACGTGGCCGTCCTCCTTTGAGCCAATGTATCAACGCCCTTCTATTTCAATTCAATTATTCAATTACTCGACTATGCCTCGGTGCAAAACTTGGCTACAACAATATGAATTTTGCACATCCATTCAGCTTTATTCAGGCCTATTTCATTTTAACAATCCGTTTTTAAGGTATTTTAGGGTTATGAATTCTCTAAAGCTAGGGATTCTATAAATTTCACATGATACATTGTCATACAAGTCTCCTAACAAACAGAAGACCAAACGTAAGTGTAACAACACAACTAAGCCGTAATTCCAGCTAGTGGTATTCCATTGTGTTCTATTCTCGCCTTTTAACTAACTTAACAACAAAAAAAAAAAAGAGAATGTGTGCCACATCCTACATCCACTACAAGCACTTCAATACAGTAGCGGAGCCACATAAACACCCTTCGTCCGAAATTATATTGTGTATATAGAAAAATCTATATGCTGCATATATAGATCAAAAATTATTTATTTTTACATATTAAATCTTGAACCTCCTTAGCGAAATTCCTAGTTTCGTCACTGCTTCAACCAGCAGAGAACCGAACAGCAAGAAAATTCAATGAGATCAAACCAAAGCACTCAAATGACTATAAGATGGATTTGCAAAGATGAATGCCAACATTTGGACCTAAAAGGTTTAGAGTTCGAGCAAAAACATACGATTTACAGCCAAAGGCAACTTGCAGAAATACCAACGAACATCACCACCATCTGAGGGACTTGTAGTCTGAGCAAGGTACTTTTGCCTACCCTCTAAGTGCTCAATTTCATCTGCTAACCTTCTAATATTTGACGGCGTGTTCTTCAACAAGTCGGGAGATGTTTCATCAACCACCCCACCTTTAGACCCAGAAACAGATGCCATCCTCAACCTCCCAAAGTCCAAACACCTTTCTACCAGTCAACTATACCTTCAAAAGAAAGAGTTTAAGATCACAGTGTAAGAAAATATCTACCCAATAAGGTCACTTAAAACGTAGTCAACTTTATTTAATAACCTGTTATAACATGTTAAATTAAACTGACGCATAAAAATTATTACATTGTCAGTGCATATAACTTAACAGTATGCATCATCGGTATTAGCAAAATACAATTCAGAAATCTCAGTCAAGTATATCAACTCGAAAAATTATAGGTTTTGCCCAGCTGAAAACCTTGAGCTTTTCTTTATTTCTTGAAATTGTTTTGCAAATTCATTAAACAAAGGATTAACTGATTCAAGGGCATGAATTAAACCATCCCCCTCAACAGAAAAAATGCTTTTGGACATTGAAAGTTGGAAACTGGACGGGAATTGTTGAATTGAAGATAGCATCTAGACTTTGTGACGAAATTTACCTGAAAGGAACGACGAAAGGGTTTTCTGGATTCTCTTCTTATAGAGGAATATTATTGTAACTCTTTTTTCTGTCAATTTTAGAATTTAAAAGAGGAAATTGAGTCGTGTGGAAGAAGAAGAAAATGGAATTGTATCGAAATGAGAAGAACGGTGGGTGGAAAGGCAAGAAATAACGAGAAGGGGCTTGGTTAGAAGGAATATTCTGTTAAACCCCATTAGGAAATTAACAGCTTGTTTGAATGGTTGTTAGGTATCTTTTCATAATGTATTGGTTTATGGTTTCATAAATACAATGTTTGGATAGATTGTGTCATTTAACATCGGTTCGTGATATCACAAGCTAGCAATACAAAGAATAAACTTATAATATTATAAAGAAAAATTGTAATACATGATAAAATTATTATTAAAGAGGTAAGAAAAATGATAAAATAAAATTATTTAATAATATTGAAGGGTGAGATTGAGAGAAAAAGACAAGGTAACGATGCGATCACACCGAATCGGTCATTACATAAAGTGGCACATTTCGTCGGTATGTAACGACGGATTTAACGATATGATACAATAAAATTTATGTAACAATCAAAACAAACATTGTATTTAACGTAACAATACGATACAATACAATTGGTAACAACCATCCAAACAAGCTGTAAATTAAAAATTATAATAAACAAATACCGCCAATACGAAGAGAAAAAAATTATAGTGTCCAAAGATGAAACAAAACTGCTTTTGATTTTTTTTTTTCAAAAATGAGATGGTGTTTGGCTAAGCTTATAAGCTTGTTAAACTGGCTTATAAGCAATTTTAGTTTGACCAATGTTTTTACAACAATAACAATAACAATCCAGTAAAATTTCACTAGTGGGGTTTGTGGAGGGTAGTGTATACACAGACCTTACCCCTACCCGAAGGAGTAAAGAGGTTGTTTTCGAAAGACCCTCGGCTCAAGAGAATAAAAAGACAAAAGGAGACAATATTAGTTTCACTATAGAAATCATAGGAAAAATAGGAAGATAAAATGCATAAGAAAAATGCAAAGCAAAAATGATGGCTAGTAAATAGGTCATGCACCGAAAAAAGAAAATAGTAAGACACGACATTGCCACTGGTTAACTTAGGCAAAAACCATACCAGACTAGGCTCACAAATGTACAAAGTAAGGCAAGACTCAACTACCTCCTAGCCTACAACCGTAATACTCGACCTCCACAACTTCTTATCAAGTGTCATGTCCTCAGAAATCTGAAGCATCGTCATATCCTGCCTGATCACCTCTACCCAATACTTCTTAGGCCGCCATCTACCTCTTCTCATGCCCTCCACAACCAGCCGCTCACACCTCCTTACCGGAGCATTTGGGCTTCTCCTCTGCATATGCCCGAAATAGGGGTGTTCATGAATACCCGAAAAGCCGAACCAAACCGAAAACCAAATCAAACCGACCAAAAAAACCGATATTTTTTGGTTTGGTTTGATTTTGGTTTTGAATTTTAAAAACCGATCAAATTTGGTTTCGTTTTGGTTTTAATCAGAAAAAACCGAACCAAACCGACTATAGAAGTAGCTATTTCAAATTTTATTACACCTATATATATATGTGTGTGTGTGTGTGTGTGTGTGTATTGTTATACAAAGTTTCAAAAACTTTATGGTAAATGTTAATAGTTTGCACTTTTAATATAGTTCTTTACCTTTACATTCTAGTTTGATTGGTAATTTTCTTTTGTTTAGTGTAAGAGTCCATTTCGTGTTAAAAATAACATATTTTTAATTGAGTCCTTAAATTATTCATCACTATTTGATTCAATTATCATCAATATATTTGGGTAAATAATAAATTTCTCAAAGGCAATTGATTTGATAGTGTTACATTGAAAATGTGGTTGTCGGAATATGTGTTTGGTTTTGTATATCTTATATTTAAGAAAAACCAGACAAATAACCGAAAAACCGACATAAACCGAATCGAGAAAAACCGACTTAATTGGTTTGGTTTGGTTCTAATATTTGAAAAAACGACTTACTTGGTTTGGTTTCTTTTTAGGGAAAAACCGATCCAAACCGAACCATGAACACCCCTAGCCCGAACCATCTGAGTCTCGCTTCCCGCATCTTGTCATCAATGGGAGCCACGTGCACCTTCTCCCGAATATCATCATTCATAATCTTATCCATCCTAGTGTGCTCGCACATCCACCTCAACATCCTCATTTATGCTACTTTCATCTTTTGGATATGTGAGTTCTTAACAGGCCAACACTCGGCCCCATACATCATGGTCGGTCTAACCACCACTTTATAGAACTTACCTTTGAGTATTCTTGGCACTCTCTTGTCACACAAAATTCCGGATGCTAACCTCCACTTCATCCATCCTACCCTAATACGGTGTGTGACATCCTCGTCGATCTCCCCTCCCCTGTGGATAACCGACCCAATATGACGTGTGACCCAATGCTTTTACTAGTTTATTCTTAATAATATTTTTAATTCACAATATACTTTTCTCAAAATAAATTTTCTAACTTTCTCTTCGTTCCATATTCGTTGTTCATCCTTTTCTTTACAAAGGCACTTCTTAATTTACATTTTTTTATAAAAAAAATTAAGGGTATTTTAGTCATTTTAATAAAAGAATAACTTAGCAACACTTTTCTTCCAAACAAATCAACTGTTTATTATTAGTTTCAGCACGTCTATCCAAACACGTAAATGCTTAATTAAAAAAAATCAGTTTCGACATTTAAAAATACTTTTCAGCACTTCAAGTTTATCAGCAATTTACAATCAGCTAATCCAAACGGGCTCTAAGTATTTCCTGTCAAATAGTATTTTACGCTATATTAATTGTTAATTAAATAAAAACATCGCCTTTAATCAGATATATTAAAATAAATTAAGAATAAGAAAATATTTTTATAATGTAATTTATTTCTAGTTTTTTATCCAATACTATTAGTCTAGCAAAAAAAATGTTACTATTAATCTAGCAAAAAAATCTATGAGCTAAAATTTACTCTGACTTCATATGTGCAAACTCGGGTATATCATAGATAGGCAGTGAGTTAGTACTCAAATCATCCTAAATTTCCCGGAACTTTAAGCTTTAGGTTGACCCATTTCAAGTTTTCACCTTAAATATAAACTCTAGGTTCTAATTCTTCAAAATAATTTCTATTCGTTTTCTAAATCATTCTCTAAGCTCAATATTTCATCTTACACCTCAAATAGACATCATATCACAAATATCTCTCTCTATATACATATATATATATATATATATATATATATATATTAAATCAAGAAAGTTTGTCTTCTCATTTAGCCAAGTGGCAAGTTAGTAAAAAGCCAAGTGGCAACTTATTTCAACCCAATTTTATCGCCTCTTTTCTAGAAAGTTTCCATTACATAATATGTTTTCAACTAAATAAATTAAGAATACTAAAAAAATTTATATATATTAAAGCAAGAAAGTTTGCCTTCTCATTTAGCCAAGTGACAATCTATTAACAAGATATTTGGTAACTTATTTCAACCCAATTTTATCGCCTCTTTTCTAGAAAATTTCCATTACATAATCTGTTTTCAATTAAATAAATTAAAAATACTAAAAATTGCAGAAGCACCACATTTTCAACAAAAGTATCGTCTTTCATATTAAAGGCAAGCTTCTTTATCTCTATCCCTTTCTAACGTTCCCAATTCTCCCAATTCCCACCATTGTTATCTCTATCCCATATTAAAGGCATTGCTCTGATGGTAAGCAACCCCCACTTCCAACTGAGAAGTTGTGAGTTCGAGTCTCCCCAAGAGCAAAGGTGGGAAGTTCTTGGAGGGAAGGATGTCGGGGGTCTATTTGGAAACAGCCTCTCTATCCTAGGGTAGGGGTAAGGTCTGCGTACACACTACCCTCCCCAGACCCCACTAAGTGGGATTATACTGGGTTGTTGTTGTTGTTGTTATATCACTTTGTCACGAAAGATGAAAAGAAACTAAGCAACAAAAAACAGGGTATGTTATACAAAATCATAAATGAGTAACACCTCATCAGGTCAGAATATTTATTATCTAAAATTAAGGAATTTCTACTTGGAAAAGAATTACAATTTCCCATCAACTATTACATTTTACCATCTCCAACCAAAATCCAATTCGAGGTATGTTTGAGCAAGTATTACACGTATTTTGTTTCTTATTTATAGCAAGTAAAAAGATTATGTGAATATATATTATATACTTTACATATATGTAGCAATTGAATTTTTTTGAATTTTTCGGCTCTTTTTATGGAAATTTCTTTTTCATAAAGTTAATGCCCCTAAACACACGTATTTTGTTTCTTATTTATAGCAAGTAAAAAGATTATGCGAATATATATTATATACTTTACATATATATAGCAATTTATTTTTTTTGAATTTAACTACTACTTAGGGTTTGTCTTCAGTATATATATAGCTGCACCGAGCATATACTTTAGTACAGATAATCCTTTGATCAATTTTCTCTAAGGCAAAATATGACGCAAAATTTGACTATGTCAGCGATATATCAACTAACAAGATGACTTAGAATTTGAAGGTACAAGTAGTGAGATTGTGGCATGTTCTATACTGCAAAAAATCAAACAACGCCGTCTCCCTTGAATTAATTATTCAAGACGAAAAGGTGCATTCTTTTTTAGTTGCATTTATTTTTTCTGTAATTTGACTACAATATCCATCTTCTGATTTGCACTATGGAATTTATTAGGTTATGTGTGTATTTAATCAACTGCAATTTTAATTTTTATGGTCTAGATGGAGATACCTCAAATTGTGAATGAAGCTAACTCTTCATCTGCAATTTTGGTATACTTGAAATCATTTGTAGTTTGTTCTAAAGAATATTTTTCACGCGCGAGAACATTTTTGGAGATCATTTTTCATGTCTAAGATTATTGGTTTTGGACATCATCTTTTAATGGAATATAATGAAATTTTCACAGCTTATGCTCCTTGGCATTTATATTGATATTCCAACAAGTAAATTTGCTTATTACATTGCCTACAACTTTAGTTCTTATTTTCAGAAAGGACAAATTTAGATTGTTGCGACTGTAGTGAATCTACAAGTTGAAAAAGAATGGTCATATTTGTGGTGCAGG